TGCCACCCATCTGCCTATAAGGTGATTGTTATAATTTATGCTTTCAGACCCAACCTTTTCTAAGTCAAACAACATCCATCAAACAACCCTCACTGGATCTGGGGGGGCAGATTGTGATCCACAACCTTTAAACACACGCAGACACACACAAAACACTGCTATGAAACTTTCTACAAACGTTTGTCCAACCCTTCCCCCAGTATGAGATGGAATGTACTAGAGTAAGCAAAAATGCTCCTGCAGTTAAAATATTTAATTCTGTGCTGCATCTAACCTGCAAGAAGATATTTGCAGCAAAACACTAACTACATGAAGTTAGAATTGCTGTGCTGCCACAGTTTTTCATCCCAAGTAATTTACAACATCACCGGAGTGATTTGGCAACCGTAATTCCATCCCCTGCTTGCTTGACACTAAGCATGCCTCACCCTGGACTGTAATTTATCTTTGCTTATCCTACTCTTTTTTGAACAGTCAAATGCCAACCAGTATAAAAAGGCAAAGGAATAAAGCGAGTGAAGACAATGCTTCCTGATGCTGGCACCTCTTGTGGAAAGAGCACAGTTCCACCAAGGACTGCTGGTGGCAAAGACTCTGCAGTTGCTAAAATACAATTGGGATAAGTTTCACAGCTGAGAACAATTATGATAAACAGCCATTCTGTTTCAAAGTAAAACACCAGATTGCTGTGGCATCTTGGAAAAATATGTGTGAAATCAAACTGGAAGCAAAAAGCATGTGCCTTAATTGTTTTAAAGCATATGGCAGATTGCTAGTATTATGCATATTTAAAGAGTTGCACATCAGATGCCACAGCAGTTCCAAAACTCGGCAGAGATTAAACATGATTTTGTTATCTCGGGAATCCCTTTGCTGGCCAGAGATCTCCATCAAGAATCCAGTACATGAAGCAAATCCCAGAGTAACCACCAAGCGAAAGCAGGGAGATTATCCTTAGTACTGAGTATAGTCATAGACTCAAAGCTGTGAATGGAACTCTGTGAATTTCTTTGGAGTATTAATGTGTAGTATTATGATCTAACCTTTATGCAGTTTTTGATAGGCTTACTGGAAGAAAAGGGACTTCTGCAACACTGTGATGTGATACCATTATTTGTATGATAGCTAACTTCAGAACAATATGATTCTGAAAAAATATTAAAAATGTAGGCAACGCATAGTATTTTAAGAAAATAACAGCAGAAATATTTTAATATTATTATCTCACAACACTCATTTTAAGTATGTTGCTTACTTGAGGTCCTTCCGACAGCTTACCATGACCCAGTTGTGACTTGTGAATACAAAGCAGGGAAGAATATATAATTCAAAAGTTGTATTCCATCAACTTTTGCTATTGAAATATTGCAGAAATGTATACATATAACCTTTTCAAGAATAGAAAAGTAACCATAACCAATTTTATCATTATTGTTTAAGTCACTGTTTGAAATGTGCATCTCCTATGCTAAACAAAACCAAGATAGTACACATATATCATTCTAAAAATGGAAATTCTTTGACATTTAGCATAATATTGCAAAGGAGATTTCCAAACCAAGCGTAAGAACACAAAAACCGCTTAGCTAAATCAGTCTGAAGGGATATTTCAGAATGGTTATTTTGCATAAAAAGCTCTGATGTGATACCTCTGGAAATTCAGAAGCAGGTATGAAGGTGACCCCTTTACATACAGCTTTAGAGATCAGTCCTGTGGGATTCCTTATGGCAGAATAGCCATAACAGCAGCTGAAAGGAGAAAGGCTGCATATAGCAAATCTCTCCACACTTTGACCCAGCCCCTCCATCGGGGTTGAGCCCGTTTCACTTCTAGCATCAGCTGTTTCCACCTGGCAACTTCCCTCTCATCTTCCCATGTAAGTGATAGAGGCCCCACAACCCACGCTGTCTTTCTAGCAACTAAAATGTGCAAAATACAACATGAAATAACTTCAACAATGCCCCATAAGGGTCTTATACAATAGAAGTATGTGGCTAGATGGTTTAACTCTCCCTGTTGTAGATAAACCAATCTCATAAAAAGATAAATTGCAGTATTTAATGGTATTCTAGGAAGAATGTTTAAATACGACCCTTTAAAAACGTTTAATACCTGTATTATAATATCTCTATTATGGAGAAGGGAAGGAGGGACGGACTCCAGCAAGGCCACATGCTGAATTTATGGAGATTCTCAGTCACCCAGGCCACGGTTGGGCTTCCTCAAGAGGCAAATGGACTTTCTTGTTTTCCTTTGAAGA